ACTCCCTGGTCAAGAACCACCTTTCTGCTTCCGTGGGACGCCACCACCCCATGATCAGGCGTCAGATGCGGCTCCTAAACGGAAGAGACAGAAGAAGAGGGAAAAAACAGATAGAGAATAAAAGATAGAGACAGAGAAAAGAGACCGAGTGAGGGACAAAGAGAGACACACAGAGAAAGACTGAAGAAGAGAAGCAGACAGAGAAACGTAGACAGACAGATGGAGACAGAAATACAGAGACCGGTAGACAGGTAGACAGATGGACAGACAGACAGATAGGGACAGGCACACAGACAGAACGAGATAGGCAGACTGCTAGAGAATGACAAAGACAGGCATACAGACAAACCAAGACACAGACAGAGACACATAGACAGAGACAGAGAGGGGCAGACAGATAGATAGATAGCGAGATTAATAGAATAGAGAGACAGACAGACAGAGAAACATGTTGAGACACACAGATACGAGAGATTTCGTTCGTTGCATTTCTAATACTGAACCGTCTGCTAGCGCGACTCGACATATCAAAGGCGACTGGTCCTGACAGCATTTCAGCCCGGGTCCTGAAGAAGTGTGCCAAAGAACTTGCGAAGCCTTTGTCCCAGCTATTCGCTCTCTGTTTCAGGTGCGGAGTTCAACCAGAATCTTGGAAGACAGCTAACGTGGTGCCGATCCACAAACGGTCCTCGTGCTCTGTTCTGAAGAACTACCGCCCAGTCTCGTTATTATGCATAATGTCCAAAGTAATGGAAACTATTGTCAATCGCCAACTGATGAACCATCTTGAGCGCCAGCAGCTCCTCGCTCCCCACCAGTTTGGGTTCCGTAGAGGTCTCGGCACGGCAGACGCACTACAGGCGCTTCATAACGCCTGGGTGGACATCGTTGGCCAAGGTGGCGCGGCACGAATTCTCGCAGTCGGCATAGCCGGGGGCCTTTGACCGGGTCTTCCACGTGGGCCTCCTGTACAAGGTCCGGCAGCTCGGCATTAATGGCACTCTCCATAGCTGGCTATCGTCTTATCTTGACGGCCGTTCACTC